GAAGAACTGATTGTGATTACAATGCTTTAATTATGAAACAAGAGAGGCGTGACCGATCTCCGAGGATTTTGTGGGAAACGAAGTGATGATTATTCTGTGCTCGTTCTTGAACATCTTCACGCATTAACAGATATATGAGGAAGTTTATTAAGAACGAAGAGTATTTCTAATAAATTAGTGGGCTATTCGGAAACATAATTAAATTTAAAAAAAAAGTATATAACCATATTAACTTTTTATAGTTAGTATAGTAGTAATATTCAAATTAGGAACGGCGTTGCATCTTTAAATTGATACATAAGTAGTACATATAAAAAAACGCCTATTTTACGTTATAATAATTTTAAAATATGAAATTGTTTTCTAATTTAGAAACTAAACTATCACCAAAAAATAGCGCCAAATGTTTGCTTCAATAACTTGGTGAATATAAACTTGTCATCCGATACTTATTTCTTAATGTTATCTAGCGGTAAGCTAACCAATATTTAATGATCCGTTGCCGGCGACATAAAAAGGTATTATTTATAGATGCTAGTCTCTTCTAAAGTACATATAATAGGCGAGCCAATGGCGCTACCGCCAAAATGCACAGTCACTTAGCCAAACGTTAATAAAAATGACTTTCGTATTTCAAAATCATGCCCGCGATTGGCTGTCAAACCCTACCCGTCAACCAATGACCGCTCGTCAACTGTCATGACGTAGCGCTTTCCGAACAATTGTCTTAAAAAAGATCGAGATGAAAAAAAATAGCTTCCGTTAAAGTGGCATAGCTCCCGTCTCTTTTTTTCTTTTGATTGTGCACTTCGCGCCTTTGTGAGTCATTGATGGCTGTCGAAAGAAACGTCAGTGTTTTTTAGGTGAAGGCGTTAGTAATGAAAGGAACTGGACAAGATCTAAATTCAAATTTGGAAATTCAATTAGGTAACTAAATCTCTGTGTAGATTTACTACCATAAATACCCACACTACCCCCACACCCACTCTAAATGTAATTTTTGCATATGTTTCTGTTTAATAGTATAGCAATATTTTGACAGCATACGAGACGTAATGATCACATCGCGTGATATCTTTTTTCACACAGCAGTAATTCACGTCGATCTAAAGCTTATTTTATCTCGAATTTGTTATGAAATTGAATCTGTTCTTACGTTACATTAAATAGCTATAAGAAACACTCATGAATGGCACTCTTATAATTCAAATTTGGAATCTAGTGTGGCATGGAAAATGAAAAGAATTATGCACTGTTTTAAAGAAAATAACATACAAACTATCAAAGATCACAGGAAACAACTTTTCGCGTCATTACGACTGACCATAGACAAGTAGTCTATTTTTCTAACGTCATAGAATAGAACACGGTACGATGCCACGGTCCGGTGAAAAAATCTCATTTGTGATCATTGCCCGTCAGAGTTGGATTATGATGGATGGTTGCTACTGGCACGATTCGAATTACCTCCAGAATATGGCACTGTGACCAATTTAAAAATGTGTAAGGTATGGGAATTAAATAAACCAATAATGGAAGCTGAATTTTCCGAAAAACCAATATAACGCTACTGTTTTCTTATATAAATAAAAGTAAGTTGATGCATCAAATATTGCTAAATAAAACTGAGTAAGGAATGTAGAGAACCAGTATTATTATATTTAGTATTAATAAAAACGCCAAACAAAACAAAATGTAATTATTTCATCAAACATCACTTTTGCAACAGAATAGCATTGTGAGTCTTAAAATATGAGTGAAACAAATTATAGACAAACCAATCGGTAAATGAACTTTTTAAAATTCCAATAGTAATGTTAAGACAAATAAATTATGCAGCCTATCAAAAAGCTCGCGGATATCAAACTGTTACCATTTGACCTTCTGATCCATTGTTAGAAGGGAGAAAAAATACTCGTAAATATCGTTATTAGGAGTTGCGTTTACTGAGAAAACAATAGATCATAAACAGCACCTAAAGACAAATACCATGATTTATTAGCTGTCGCAAAAAGAAAATACTTTCCCGTATTGAAATAAACTTTATATTTAAAGGCAGAGAGTCCATAACACGGAGAACGTTCAGTAACTCTTAATGAAGTTCTAGGTACGGTGAGTTACGCTAAAGTTAAGTTTTTTGTTAGAAAGAGTCGGCAATACTTGAGTCTACGCCGTTTTTTACGATTTGAAAATGGAATCGAATCAAGCTATACGCGATAGTGGTGTGGACTTGCACACATTTTTATATCGCTAGAGTTATTTATTAGAGATCAACTTTTTGTTTTTTATTATTAATAATAGTGCTGCAATTGAGTCTTTCAAAATATTGACTTTATTACGGTTCATGTTAATAAATGTGTCAACGTTATATTTTGAGTAACATATTCTATGTAAATAAAAAAAAATTAAACAAATGATGTTGTTGATTCCATTTTGGAAACATTATGTTTTTTTAAAACGAGTATTTTTGGGGCAATGTAAACCTGTATTTTCCGTCAACGGTGATCCCATTGAATAAGGCACCTATCGAATAACGTATATCGACCTGTGTCACGTCACTAACAAATATCGATGCGGGCTCATCAAAGTGCGGCTCACAGACAATAACTGAGAAATATTAAATTATAATAAAATTAACTTGGCCTTACTTTTTATACCGTTACCGTGTATAGTATTAAGAACCGCTAGACATGACATTGCTATATTAAGTTATTTAACACTTCCTGACGTTAATATGTAGCAGTTAGTACTAAATTTGATAAAGTGATCAAATCTGTAAATAGTTTTTAATTTCTTTTTTTTATACAGCTACTTGCTTTGATTTGCGACTTCGCCTGCGTGATTTTAGGAACTAGTAATGTCACTCATCAGCCTTCTCCAACAATGTATGTTTGTTATGTGTTTTAATTGTAATTTTAACTGTTTGTAATGTTCGTAGACATACGATTATTATTAGATATTCGTATTAATTGATTATTGAATATTATGTACTGACTTAATTTATTTAATTTCTAACTATGTAATATTTGATTGATATTATTTTTGTTTTTGTCTGATAATTGAATTGATTTAATTTTAATATTAATACCATACAAATTATGTTAATGTATGCGCCAATTTAATGTTTAAGTGTAATGCCTCTACTACTTCGAAACGCACGTTAAGCTATTGGTCCCGGGTCGTCAGTCGATAACACCCACCAATCCGAGTGGTGAATCATAACCCATAATTCGATTTGATTCTATTCCATACATAGATAAGGCCTGTCACTAGTATATAAAACATTTATACACTGGTGATGATTTACAATTTAATAAGTAAAATAATAATTTAGTAAAGATACATAAACAGGCCGTCTTATCTACGCGTTCTAAAGCCTCTCCTCCCACGGAACAACACGGAACGTATGCAGTGACGATTATTCATTCTACACGGTGACACATGACGAATCAATCGGTTACGAACGAATCGAATCAGACGCCCGACGTTTCCGAACTTACTGCTTATTATGCCATGTGGGCATACGACTGTTTTACTCTATGGTTTGATGAAGAAAATTTGGACGATTAATTTTTAATTTAAGTCTATGGTTCATAATATGAAAATTGACTAAACTAAGTATATCTTAACATTAAGTTACTCCGTTGTTAAATTCTGTTTATTAACAATATTATTAATACGTCTGTGATTTTTTAGAATAAAATCTTACCTTTCAATTACAAGAAATAGGTTTTTATAAAAATAATTATTTCATAAGCTAAAGAATATGGTTTTGCTAATTTAAGCCATTATTTGTTGATAGGTATCTTTATCTGATCATATTTGACTCTTTACTTAATAATAATTATCATGTCATAAAAAAAGCTGTTACGAATAGCTTCTAAGAATATCCGAACCACCAGTAAATTGGAACATGTGTTTTTTCTTGATTAAATACTTTAAAAAAAATACTCCATAGACACCGCTTTACCACACATTGTAATTATGTCACAAACCTAACAATTACATACGCGTATAGATATCGAAGTACATTTGGCTGCTAAATCTCGAAACATCTAAAAATAGACTTTATCAATATCGTAACAAAAGTGAAAATCGTTAGCGACTTTTCGTACATTCGTAAGCGGTATATTATGAAACGTGCAATTAAAAAGCGAGGTTTTTTTACATCTGTCACTAGTTTTAGTGCACTGCCGTTTTTTTAAGTAATATTTCATTGTCTACGTTCTTTTTTTAAATATAAAAAAGAACGTGATTAGTATTAAAAAGTGTGAGTTGCAAAGCAACTTTTTCGTTTTTAAATAAACAAGCAAACAAAATTTATATCTGTTCTTTTTAACATTAAAGCACCATTATGTTCATATGGATTTTTAAAAAACAAACGAATAAATTAAATGTTAGACAACATCATAGTATATTTTTCAAATCCAAAGCTAAGCAGCTAAAGTCCTTGTATTATGGAAATCTGAATAAACGAAGTTACTATCCCAGTATTCTATAGAAAAGTTCAATTTCTATATTAATCCGACTTGGACTCAAACCCCACTTCTAAGATGGCAACACCTTGAATTGAAGTGACAGTGGTTGAATACTTAATTAAAAATATATATAGTACCTAACCCACAAACAATATTAAAACGATCTGTAGTATAGTACTATTCTGTCATAAAAAGTCTCGAACTCATATCTTAACACTGAGCTGTCATGACATAGAGGTTCAATCAAATAAAACCTACTTCAAAAGGTAATAAATTTTCTCTATGACAAAGCTCTATGGCGAGTGCTACGGTCGTTAACGAATCGGAAACTATTTTTTTACAGAAAAACTTATCACAAGCTCTACCGTGTTACTGAAATCGTGGGTTATCGTCAAAATGTGGCCACGGATGATCTGTCTGACAGCCACTTCTGATTATTACTAAAAAATTATCAATAATAACACAATTTTAAACGGTGTGTGTATGCGATATATCGGCTATTTCCGTCAAACTTGCACCAACCTAAAAGCTGGCGTCCATATCAATTAACCGTTTAATCTAATCGCATTCATAACGTTATTCAAGAATAGCAATGATTACAAATCTACATGTTAAATCGCATTTTCACAAGACAGTTTAAAATTTAAAAAAAGCTTACGCAAAGAAATAGTCTTCAAATTTAACTTGAATAGGCTAGTTGACAACCTTTTTTTATTTTATAAATATTACTTGTACATTAATTAATATCTGAGAAATAATTTACAAGTTTACGATGAATAGTTTCAGAGATATGCTGTTTGTGGAACTGCAGCTAGTCAGCCAAAAACGCTCCCTTACAAATTCAAGGCACTAAGTGATATCATACGGTGCTACGGTAGCGAAAAACCTATGGGCGTCTGGGTAATGTTATTCGTTCGTTTGTTTATAGCTATTATAATGAAAGTTGTAACGTTTTTACGTAACTAATTTAATGCCATGTGTATTGTAGCAAATTTTTGTAGTATATTTTCCCTAATTTTTTCAAGTTTTCTAAGCGCAATATTTTCCATTTTGCTATAAAATTTACTTTCCTTAATATTTTAAGTTAAAATGATTCATATTTGCTAAACATATAGCAACAACCTGTATTTTTACTTGTAGGACACAAGCCTAAATAACAACGTTTGTTGCTATTTATTTATTAGTTTATCAAAGGAATTATGAACATACGGCCACGACAGTAAAATGCGTTGCTGTTTGTGTTTTTACTACATCCAAAAATTAGCTGTTGTACAAATGAACCATATCAACAAGTTAATAAGTACTCACCTGTGTCTGCGTTAGGCCTAAACTGGCAGCAAGCTCTGCCCTCTCTGGCAGGGCGAGGTACTGCGTTCGTTGGAACCTCCTATTCAATTGTTGCAGCTGCAGACTGCTGTATATAGTCCTTGGTTTTCTCATTTTCTTCCCTTTCCCGTTCACTCTTAAACCAGGGTCGTCCGATAAACCGCATTTTTCTGAAAGCAATGAGACTACATTAAAATGTAACCTTTCTGTTTCATTTTTTGGATAGCCTAGATGGCATTCTTAGTACATAATTTAATACTTTTAAATTAGATATCCATTCATACTTCTTTTTTGTAAACTTTTCCAAAATGGTCAACGTATTGGTTCTTTCCCAAACTTGAAAATGAAATATTAAGCTATTTCAAATACTGATTAACGAGAGATGACGATTGCAGGTGCAGGTGGAACACATTAGGCGATTTTTGAACCTCGTTGGAGTTCAAATTAATATTTTGGTCTTCATATTGCAGTTTGAACGCGCTAAACAATTCGACCTGGAGTTCCTCATACGCTCAATGCTTATTTTTTTTAAATTCAAAGTTTGACTATCTATTGAAAACGAAATAAGTGTTATCTCAAAAGTATTAACGACATTCGAACTTCATTGCAAAATAGACCACCCCTGAGATTTTACGAGTATATCATTGTTTCTATGAAAGACTTCCAAATTTAAATCGCGAGTACGTTCGGAAACTACACCCCACGATAAATCAACACACACAAAACGGCGTAATAAATCCACAATATAAATATTCAAGCCATACGATGCCTCGCCATCCATTTTGTAAAATATATGAAAGGCACTCGCTACTTGATAATAGTCAGTGGTAACTGGTAATTACTGGCTTTATATCGCTACATCGGATCGGCATGCCCAACACCCGCTTTTTGGCGGCGGTTTCAGAACGTTCGCATTTTAAATTTCGAAACTTCTTGTTTGTTTTACGTGAGTTCTAAATTTTTAAGAAAAAAAATAAATAGATCTCTTTTTTATTGAATATAAGACCTTATTTTAAAGGATGCGCTCTCTTTTGACACTTAAATGCCCATAATATAAATAATTAAGAGTCAGTCAAAGTCCAGTCAGTCAGTCACAGTGTACAGTCAAAGCGATATTCATTAATTAAAAATCCAACGTAACTCACTTTTGTTCTTAAACCAGGAAAAGGAATAATTGTATGCACCAACAGAATTTCATAAAATGTTTCGAAATCCAAGCCTTCCTGTGCTGTACGATGTGTCGGAGATATGCAGAACGCTAGTAAGCCTTATTTGTCAAAGTTACAAAGACATTAGTGCAACCTACATAAACCTTATATCGGGGTAACAAGTGTTAGAGTTATTACTTCTTTTTCGCGAAAGATAGTTGTAAATAATGAACAAACGTATTGAATAGAATCTCTGTAGCAGATTAAAACCTGGTAGAAATTTTAACAACACTTAAAGGTAAGTTTTGATACCACTATCATAATTATTAAAGTTCTTGTAGTTCCTTACAATTAATTTAAAATAAATGTTGAAATTAACTGTAAGGAATTTCATGTCTCGTAATAATAGGTAAGCAACTATTTTTTTTATTTTACTATTAAAATTGAAAAGTTTATTCTATAAAAATGCAGTCGACAGACTCTTTCCAACATAACGACTTTTGTTCTACGATTCCCATGTATTGTTGTACATATAAACATACAAATACATACAAACTGATGTCGGCGTCCGTCAGACAGACAGACAAAACAATGCTGTGCCCCAAGGTAGACACACCCACGGCAGTGATGGGACTATGTCGACATAAGTGTTGTTATATTGGTTCGACTATCGATAACACTCGATATATAAGCGTTTCGGTTACGATATTTACATTTGCTTTATTTATTTTAAGTCAGGTTTTCATTTGGAAATTAAGTAAAATAGGCAGCAGGCTTAATTGAAATGATATCAAAATATTATACAAAAACTATTTTGATAATATTATGTTGAAATGTCTCAACTTAAAAAAAAAAATTCCTTATAAAGAATGACAACTTAAAAGATATTACCGAAATAAATATGTGAACGTGAAAAATATAAAATACGAAATAAGAACAAAAATTCAAACTAAGAATATTCTAAAGTAGAGCCGCTTCGCTCGCGCCACGCCCCCGCCGCCGCCTACCGAAAAACTGAAGATAAAACGGCCAGCTAAAAAACAATAAAACCCTTTTTCACCTTCAACAAAAAACTTTTTTTAAAAAACCTCCCTGGTCTGTGTAGACGAACGCGGGAGATGTCTGAATAACGGGAAACTTTTTACTGCACCTCATTAGAAAGTAATTATAGTTTTTCAGTAATTTCTAAATTCAGGATATTTATTCATCAGTTATGTAATTCTTAAATAAAAAGCTATTTACTGTCTATCTTAAGTCTCCTAAAAACAATGGATTCAGAGATATTAGGTTAAACACATTATAAAAGTTTACGGAGAGAAAAATATCGGCAGAGATCGATATGGCCTTCATTTTAACAAATACATATACAAAAAAATATATACAAAAATGTTAAGCTACTGTTACAATATTAAAGATGTTTCTCATTACAGTCTCCTGTTATATGTGCTATTTAATAAATATAAACTTTCATTACCAAAGTCACCCGTCTGCAACGCACCGTGCGTTAAGCAAAACTTGCCAGATTGTTTTTAAAAAGTTTAAAAAATAAAGGAGGATCGTCAAAAGACAGCGTGTGTACTAACTCTTCAACGTGATAGTCTTATGAGAATCAAATTATAATTTTTAATTACTTTCACATAAAAGTTAATAAGACGAACTAAAATTAATGAGAATTTAATAAAATTAAAAAATCTTTAATCCGGTTTAGTTTATCTCAAATCAGATTAGCTATTTGAACTATCTATAGCGTGTATTAATAGACCGTCTAGTAGTATTCTATGTTACTACTAGACAAGTTGTGCGGTACCGAGAAACAGCCCACTGTGTGCAAAAATTCTTCAACAGTAAATACTCTTTGACTGTTAGACTGAATTCCATTCGGAAAAACCAATGTTCGGAATCCAAAATAACTTTAAAATAAAAGCAGATAACTTTTGATTTTATTTATTGTGGAACAATCAACATATTATCACAATTAAAAAAAAAATGCGTTTGAATTAATGTAGTTTTTATGATGCTAAAATTTCATAGAAGGGTTCTTAAATCAACGATTTATTTTATTAACCCTTTGATGTATTATCCGTGTCTACTATAAAAACATTATATCGAATCATACGATGAGTAGTAATAAATCTTCGTCATCAAAGATGGCGTCAGGTTCTTGAAGCCATAGATTAAAAAGGTATTGACCAAAGAGGGTGTGGCAAACATTTCTGGATCCTTTCTATGTAATCTGTGATCTAAACTGTTAGGAAACAGTTGTAGAGAAAAGTGTTAATAAATTTAATATTAGTTGAAGCTGCGACCAGCTAAGAGTAAATTACACGAAATCAATGAGATAGAGAGGGCCAGAGGATGGCGCGTTACGCGAAATAGACGACCGGTTTCTGAATTGAGATAAGTACAAAATCTCAACTGATTATTCACAATAATTTAAGTTCTTTATATTCTAAGTGGCAAAAAGTCCTAATTTTATCATACTGCTATTAACTGATAATTACCAAAAATCAAAAGCAAGACCAAAATCCTGTTTGAGGGACGTTTAAAATGGCTTAAATAGAGCTTGCGACGTGCTTTACTTTGAATGCTCAATACTAAAACCGGGTGTTAGTGTCAAAAACTGTTTATAATAATCACTCACAAACCATAACGATTGTCGGTAAAATTTTTAATACTTGTCTACAAAACGAGTCATATATTTATTAATTTTCCCTCCAAAAAAAAAATAGTATAATAACAAGAAATAAACAAAACTGTGAGTTTTAGAAGGAATACAAAGTGACTTCGAATTTAATTAGAATTTTAAAAATCAATTACCCTTAAATTTACATATAATAAAGTTTTCTCATATTTAATTATAACCTAATTCCACTTATTTCCTTGTTCTAAAATAATTAAAAGGTATTGATTTTTTGTTTAGGGCGCCTAATAAATTATTAGTAATGTTTACTTGGCAGGTACTAGAACTTGGAACTAACAGACAGCCGGATGATTCTCGTCGTATTAATATTTTCCTAAAAATGGAACTTTTAATTTACTTACCCACATGTCAATTATATTAATGGGTAACAACTTTCAATGTGCATTAAAATGTGAACTCAGCAGTAGTAAAAGATAGACTTTTTAATTACGAAGTTAATAAAAACCAAGATCGAAACGCAACTTGAAACAACCTATAAAACGTCAATAAAATTATGAGCAGCCATAGTTGTTTATATAGCTATATGTAAAGCAAACTATAATGTCTCTTTTGAATATGAAACGTAATAAAAACTTTTATCACCCAGTGTAAAAATTTGGTGATTTAAAAAAAGAAAAAAAAAGCGACACAATTCGAATCAATTAAAAAGTCGTACATATTTATTCACATATTCTTAATCTTCGCCTGTCGGTAAGTTTCTCTTAAAACAGGACCTAATTAGCAGATATTTGCAAAGTTATTTGTTTCTTAAGTCTCGTTATCCCTGTTTTTCTATAGGACAGGTGTAAGCAGTGCACTTTTTATAAAATCAAAAAATGTTATTGCCTCATTATTTTAATATCGAATGGCAGCTGCGCGTCGTTTTAAAAAATGACAGTAACTCTTAATTGGCGCTAGAAGGACAGTTTTTATTTGCAAACAAACGCTTTGTCATTTTGTTATATAATAAATAGACGTATGACCTTTTACGTGAAACGGGTTGTGTAGAGGTTTAGGAAACCCGTAATAGTAGCAATTCTGTTGAACTAATTACACTAACGTTAGAATTAGCCCTACCAAACTACTTTTACGGTTTTGTAAATAACTAAGAAACCGTAATGAATTTGTTATATTATAATAGTGAAGCGCACATAAAGTAAAATAAGTATATTAATTTCTTTAAATTTGAATCACAGTAATTTGATTAAATACAAAGTTTTACACAAAAATATAGTTGAACTATGAATATATGGTTTTTTACATACTTTTCCGATTTTTAATAGATTAATCATTATTTGAATTGACGACAATTGAACAAACTCGATCCATAAAACCCAACCAT